TGAGTACATGGACCCTTAGGGGAACCCCAAAGCCCTCGAAGAAGTCAAACTTACAGACTTACAGACCCACCGTAAGGAGGAGCCCTTAAAGCACCCCGTAAAAGGAACCCTAAACCCGAAAACTGAGTCGATGTAACGGTATAGCCCATACAACTTAAGTTATGGATCCCGAAATCCATTCAACAAAAAACAGAAAGAACAAAACATAGAACATACAGAACCCTGAAGCCCTTCTAGACCCAAAGGCTCCTAGGTTGTGCTATTGGGGGGGGGGGGTACTTTCCCAAAGCCTATATAGGTTATTCCTAATATAGAAACCCTACACTCTACTATACAAGTACTTGGGACCCCAAAACCCTAAACTTAAATCCTAAACCCTAAACCCTAAACCCCGAATCCTGGGGGATTCCTTTACAGGGATCGGCCAGGGTGTAAGATCTGCCTCAACGCCAGCAAACCCTAACTGGGACCCTTTGGGAGAAGCATGGCCAGGTTATTCCGAACAATCAGACTCTACATTCTACTATATAAGTACTTGGGACCCCTAAGCCCTAAACCCTAAATCCTAAACCCTAAGCCCTAAACCCTAAACCCCTAAACCCTAAACCCTAATTGGGACCCTTTGGGAGAAGCATGGCCCGGCCTTGCCACGGGTTCCCCACTTGGCCCCCAAGCCGTCAGCGTTGGCCTCAAGGTCCGAACGCCAAGGACTCCCAGTGTGGATTTAGGGCTCAGGGCTGAGGGTTAGGGTTTTGGGTTTTAGGGTTTGGGGTTTTGGGTTTTAGGGTTTGGGGTTCAGGGTTGAGGGTTTAGGAGAATCCTCTAACTCTGAATGGTTTTTGGTCTCTAAAACCCTGCTATTTGGGAACTTGGACCCTCAGGGAGTGGCAGGCTCGGGCTGTATAAGATTGTAGGGTTCCGTGTGGGTTATCACTTATAACTTATAACCTACCTTAGCAAAGTGATCCTACATCGTGGTAAGCTTGGGCTTTAGGGCCGTTCGGTGACACTGTCACTAAACCCTGAGGCCTCAAAGTGGGACGTAAGGGGAGGGGGGGCGGGGGCTTTGGGAAACAGGCACGCCAAGTGGCCACAGCCACAATCGGCTGCTGCAGATTCTCAATGAAGGTTGTGAGGGGCACCTGGGCGGCACGACCGACTGGTTTGAAAGCGGAGATTGCCTTGACGGAACTTAAAAATGTAGGGCACTCTGTACGAGTTCGAGAAAGCGTAGCATGGGGCTTTGTAGCTGTATGGTGCTAAGATGTTTTAAAGGTCCAGAGTACCTGACAACTAGGTACTTGCGCATAGGGTACTAGTCTTGTAGATTAGTCGTATTTGGAGAAAGCATATGATGATTATAGGTACTTGGACCCTTGCAGGGTTGGGGACAGATGACGAAACCTGTTTCCACATTCGGTGCCGCCAGGAAAGAGGCTCAGGATGCGAAGTACGCTGCTGATGAGCTGGTGGACAATCTGATGCGTTTCATGAGCACCCGAGAGTTAACAATGCCGAGGTTGATGCTGATGGCGATATGATCATGAATATGATGTTGCATGATGATGATGATGCTGCTGCTGCTGATGATGATGATGTTGATGATGATGATGATGATGATGATGGTGACAATGACCATGACGATGATGATGATGATAATGACGATGATGTTGATGTTGGTTATGATGACGATGGTATTGTTGTTGATGAAGATGATAAATGATGATTGTGATGATGAAGATGGTGATGATGAGGAGGAGGAGGATGAAGAAGATGATGATGTTGGTTATGACGACGATGGTATTGTTGTTGATGAAGATGAGACATCATGATGATGAAGATGATGATGGTGATGATGATGACGATGATGATGAGCATGACATGAGCGATAACATGAGCGATGATAATTATATAGGGGACCGTGGATGTGGGACGTGCTGTTGACATGCATCGTGCTGATGTCGTTCTTGCTGACCCTAGCCCCCAAGCACCACAAGGTTGAAACCCAAACCTTCATTCCTCAACCATCAAAAGCTCCTCTAAAGTTTTGTGCAGGAGGTCGAAGCTGTAGCTCCCCCCAAAGCTCTGGGTGATATCTACCGAAAATACGTACTTGGAACCAAACAGCCATTGCTGTCTCTCCATTCGGATCCGGGCACCACGAATATCAGCAGTCCGGCCCACATCCTCCGCAGGCCATGCGGGGCTTGCGCTACCATCATCAAAACGCAAACACCTCGGCAGGCAGCACGCGGAAGCCTTCGTGAGGACCCTGCATCGTCTACTTCCCAAGTACCTTAACCTAGAAGAGTGAGTGGTTGCTGAACGGAGCGGCTGGTTCCCGAAGACCAAAAGCTTCCCAAAAGGTGGGGGTTCATACAGAAAGCTCTTCCTGCAGTAGCGTCCTAAGCAAACAGACCCCAAAACACACACTCAAATCCAAGCGCGAGCCAGAAGGACAGATCCCCCTGCAGAAAAGGACAACTATAATCCTGTGTCTGTCTGTATTGAGGCCATCTCGTTCTGTTATTTGTGATTCTAACTTGCAGCTTAGCGGTTATTGGGGGGTTTGCAAGATTGAGGGCTACAGTACCTAGACCCCAAAGAACCTACCTGTTTAAGGACTTACATAAGGGGATCACAATAAGGAACCCTAAACAGGGAGGTTCTTAAAGGCCCAGGTAGGGTTTACTTGAAGGATCATGGGACTTAGTAACTAGGGTTATAATTAAGGTAACTGTACTTATAATTACTTATAAGCCCAATTTAAGGTACTTATAACCCTATACTTACTAAGTCCCATGATCCTCCAAGTAGACTACTCCAAGGCACCGAGCGTGGATCCCCAGAAGAGAGGATTCTTCCAGGCGCCGTAGCCCGCCAGGAGCACTGCCATCTGCAAGGCTCCCAGGAGCATGAAGAAGGCCGTCCCTGTGGTGTTAGGGTTTAGGGTTTAGGGTTTAGGGTTGTCTGACTTCGGGGCTGAAAAATCCTAATGTAGGGGCCGTAATAAGTTAGAGATGGGGTTTGGGGGGTATGTTGTTACTATAATTATAACAGGGACCCCCGAAATTAGCATAGGTAATATTTCAGTTCCTATATTAGCCCATAAAGCAACCCTAAACCAAAAACACACTTAGAGGAACCCTGAACAGCGCTCTTCGGATCGATGTTGGCTTGGTGAGCTCGTGCTATGAGGCTCTAGGGTCAGGATTTCTCGCCTTGACGACACGGGCTGTGTAGGTCCTCAGGCTTGTCGGGTGCTTGAGGCCCCTGAACCACCGTAAACCCTGAACAAGCGGAAGCCCTAAACCCTCTCAATGCTGAACGTGATGATCTTCCAGCCTTAACAGACAACAGCCAGCCCTGGAATCATATATACCTATGTACACTGTAAACACCTACATAGTGAGCTCCACAATATAAAAGCGACGGCTATGCATGGGGCTTTCAGAACATCAAGGAACCTATATGCCTATAGCAACTTCAGGTAGCAGGATCTTATTGGGTGGAGGTACCGAAGTCTCAAGCACAACGCCCTAAGCATACCCCAATAACCCTAAACCTTAAACCCTAAACATACCCCAATCTCAGGCCCGAAGCCCGCGCTTCACCCCCAAAAAGCTTCCTTTGTTGGAGGACTCAGAAAAGAACCTCACAATCAGGAGCCCTCTAGATGCAGGTTTCTTACATCTTATAGGGTCCATATATATATATATATATAGATAGATAGATAGATAGATAGATAGATAGATAGATAGATAGATAGGGTTTAGGGCCTAGGGGTCAGGGTCCCAGAAACGACCAGAAATTCCCAGAAGCCGCCAGAGCCTGCTGTGTGAAGCCACCGCCGCTGAGCTACCGAGCAGCCCGCGGAGGCAAAGGCGTAAAGCGTCAGCACGACCCTGCTTTACTCAGGGTTCGTTGAAGGGAACTAGAAGGACCCAGCCCCCTTAATTAAAGAATACACCTTAAGTCATAGTAGGATCCCTCACATGATCTCAGGTATGTTGGTATGTTCTCTAAGGTCTGGGTAATTAGGGCTACTTTACAGGGAACTACAAGGACTACCAGGGTTTTATTCGGATATTGTAGGGCTTATAAAGTTTATAGGGCTTAGCTCCTAGACCCCCCCCCCCCGAACTACCCTCTAATATACCCTAAATACCCAGTATGAAGGACCATAAGGGCTCTATTAAAGGGCCCTTGGGGGTTCCAGGCTTCTGCAGGCTTGTAGGATGGTGCTATGGTCGCATTTCGTAAAAGGGTTTAGGGTTTAGGGTTTAGGGTTTAGGGCCTTTCGCAGGGCGCCCTGAACCCAAAGACTCCAAAGTCCAATAAGAAAGGAACATGCCCTTCATTTCTAGGAGTTAGGATTAGGGGGGCCCTTGGGGATATAGGTCCCTTTTAAGGAAGCCATCAGTAGGGTTGAGAAGGGTCCCCCTTTAAGGAGTCTTCCCCAACTTACCCTGGAAATTTCGAGAGGGACCCAGAAACATATTTACGGCACAGTGTATACAGAGAGGTGTGCCTTGCGTAATATCATGATCGTATTTGGTAGTGCCAACACCTGATCTGGCATAAACCGTAAACCCTAAACCCTAAACCCTAAAACTAGGGACAACGGACAAAGCTAGGCTGTAAACCTGCTTTCTTATGAGAAGAACTCGTAACCCCAAACATAGTTTAAACAGCACTGTCTAACTGGTTTCTAAACACTGAGAGCCCGCAAAGCCCTGGACGTCCCCAAGAAGCCTTGTTGCTCTCAACCCCAAAGCCTCATAAAAACCATGAGAGCCAGAACCCTCACCCCTACACCCTGAACCCTTATCGAAATCCATATAGAGTAGTTACAGTAACGTTTATAGTCATAGCGACCCTTATAGCCCCCCCTCAAACCCCTAAAATGGCAGCCCTTCTTGATGCCTCAAAGGAACCCGCATAACTCCGCACAACCCTAAGCCAAGGTGCCAAAGCAGAGAGTGGATCAAGGCCGGGAGGCTCTGGCGCGCTGGGGTCCTGCGATCGCGGCGTTCTTCGCTCTGCAAAGGTTCAGGGTTCAGGGTTTAGGGTTGAAGATTTCGGGTTTAGGATCTAGGGGTTAAGGTTTAGGGACAAAGATTTCGGGTTCAGTTTAGGATCTAAGGTTTAAGGTTTTAGGGTTCATTATTTAGGTTTCGGATTTCGGGTGAAGGATTCAAGGAGGGCTTCGGAGTTCTTCGTTCGACAAAGGGCTCTGTTAAAGGGTGTAGGACTTATAGGATTTAGGGTTTAGGGGTTTAGGGTTTGAGTTTTTTGCTTTACGAGCTCAAAACCTTGAGTGGCTAATGGTTTAAGGTATAGGTTTAAGGGGCCTAGGGCCAAGGTTCCGGGGCTTCAGGGGGTTTAGGGCTTTGGGTCTAGTGTCTTCGACTTAACTGCTCTGGGGCTGTCGGATCTCTAGCCGAGGTTTCTGTGTGCCTGCTACCGTCAGCCCTCTGCCCTGAATCCAGCATAGCGGCTAAAGGTTACCTACTCTACTATAGACTGAGGCAGTGGTATTGCAGAGAATCTTGGGTTGTGGCTCAGGGTGTCGTCTGATATCCACACTGGGTAATGCCACAATCCCTCGTCGTCCAAACGACTCTCAATGAGTGGTTTCACACGGGCAACACGAGGTACCAGAGAAGGCTGAAGAACCAGACAAGTGCGTGGGGTCTTTAGGCAGGTTGTGGAAGGTCACTAAACAGCTCGCTTTATTGATATGAGTGGGGCTTGTATGTTGATGCTTTGTGTGCCAGACCCCTTTACTTCAGGCATTACAGGGTGCCAAGTGCCAGACTCATTCGATAAAGTACGAGGCTTCGAAGAGTTTTCACATGGTAATATAGGGGCCTTAATAATTCGAACAGGGTTTGGGGGCCCATTATATAATAAGGAACCCCCCACAATAGTATTGGTAATTATTTAGGCTACTTTGGTAGCTCCGGACACAAAGCATCCAAAGCCTATCACACACAGCTGCAGGGCCCGGCCCCACCCATAGGTTTACCAAAGAGTTTAAGGTTTTGGGGGTTTAGGGTTTAGGGGATATGATGGCGGTCTTCCCCTGAGGGTCCAAGTATCATATGATCACACAATCTCCCCACACATTGACCAGTCCTGAATCCGAGTAACTAGCTATTGGAAATTGGAACCCTATCTAAAAGAACCCCTTCAACCCTATATACCCTGCTTTGAACAAGAGCTGGTTCCTCCACGTATAACCCAGAACCCACCTGGCTATGGCGCGCCTCAAGCGAGGAAAACAACCCAGACACCCTACATCCCAACCCATATATATGCTAAACCCGAAAACTGGAAAAACCCTAAAACCCTGAATGCTAAACCTCTTCACCATGAACCTTAGACAAAACCTGGGCCCTAAATCCTTTGACCCCTAAACCCTTTGACCCCTAAAACCCTGTGACCTCTAAACCCCTTGACCCTAAACCCCTAAACCCTAAACCCTAAACCCTAAACCCTAAACCCCTAAACCCTAAACCCTAAACCCTAAACCCTAAATCCCAAAGCAGCTGTCCCCAGGGAGCTCCAGGGGAAAGGAGAGCAGGTCATTTCCTCGCGGAGTGCTCGGCTGTGGAGGCTCATAAGCTAAGTTGCTCGCAGAAGGGTATAGGCTATTGGGTTTGGGGGTTTAAGGTAAGTTACTAGAACAAGGTTAGAGGATAGCATAAGTATAGGGCTTAGGGTTTAGGATAGGTGCAGGGCCTAGGGTTCAGGGTTTAAGGTGGATCATGGGAGGGACTTCGCAGTGCCAAGAGTCGGTATAGTCTGGGAAACCTTCGAAAGGACACCGGGCACCTGCTATCCGTTTTGGGGTATCTACGAGTAGGTCCCCACCTAAACCCTAAACCCTAAACCCTAAGAAGCCAACATGGGATCCAGAGATCCAGAAGTGCTACAGCCAAACAATGAACCCTCCTGAAAGCTGCTGGTCTCCCAAGACTTGCAGCATTGCTTCCTAAACTTAGCACCCCAGGGACGCTGCTTCTGATTCCTGGTGTCCGAGTAAGAATATTGCGGGAGTCAGCTTTTCAAGTTAGTTTTGGGCCCTACAGTCCTATAAACCAGATGGCTTTCAGCATTCTAGAAGCGCCGCTACAAGTTACAAGGGCTGCCTAATGGATATGATTCGGGGTTTAAAGGAGTTGTGGGAAGTGAAACGGCCTGGTGCTACAAGAGGCTCAGCAACTAAGATAAGCTTAACTGCAGTCAACATCCCCACTACACGCTGCCTGGACGCTGCATGTATAAGTGGGAGCAACCACGACAATGCTTGTTTCAGGGGTACAACTTACGGCACTTTAGTGGCGTAGGCTGGTTATGGTGGTCATGGGGGTTGGTTTCTCCCCACCTTCCCACACACAGCCGCACATGTAGTTAGAGGCGTGAACTGCTAGATTACGGCCGGGTTTCGGTGGTATGTTGGCAGAGCTATATGATTCTGATAAGGGGCCATCGCAAAAACGTATGTCCTAAGTAGTTGTACAGTAGAATGTCGAGTTTCTATAGCAAGAGCTACTACTATGATTTGGGGAAGTATCCCTCATATCAGTTCCTAGGACGCTGTGGCCCCGATGCAAACACTAAACCCTAAATCCCCTCCACCGCCAAACCCCCAGCCCCGAAACCCCTCAATCCTAAACCCCTAAACCCTCGACTCGTTACATCGTTTCCCCCCCCCCCCCCCCCAAACCCTGAGCCCAAAAGCCCAAAAACCCTAAACCCTAAACCCTAAGCCCCCTAAGCTCAAAAGCACAAAAATCCTAAACCCTAAACCCTAAGCCCTAAACCCCCTAAGAACCCTAAACCCTAAACCCTAAGCCCCCTAAGCCCGAAGCCCAAAAGCCCAAGAACCCTAAACCCTAAGCCCTAAGCCCTAAACTCTAAGCCCTACTCTGAGGTCTCAGGTCCCTATACCCTATACCCTACATGTAGGGGCCCAAATAATTACCGGTGTACTGTTTTGGGGGGGAGTCCTTATTCACATCATAGTATAATGGGCCCCAAAACCCTATTCAAATTATTAAGGCCCCTATATAAAGCCCTAAACCCTAGACCCCGAAGCCCGGCATTCCTCAATCTCGAAGAAACGCTCCAGGAAGCGGCCGGTCAGAAAGGAGAACCACAGCCTCTGGCACTGAGGTTTCGGCTCTAGTGCTTTGGGCACTAGGGTTTTGGAAGATTTTGAGTTCGGGCTGCTGGGTTTGGGTTTAAGGGGGTTCGGCTTTAGAGTTTGGGTTTCAGGGTTTAGGGTTTTGGGTTTAGGGTTCGGGCTACTGGGTTTGGGTTTAAGGGGTTTAGGCTTTAGAGTTTGGGTTTCAGGGTTTACGCTTTAGGGTTTGAGGCTTAGGATTTGGGGTCGAGGATGTTTGCTGAATGAAGCTAGTGCGATCCGCAACCAAGGAGTTCAAGACATGGGCCTTAGGGCTGCTAGGACTTTTGGAGTCAGAGAATTCGGGTGTGCGGAGAGGCTGAGTACTCTAAACAAAAAAGTTACACTTTTAAGTTATAGGCCCCAAAAAGGTTAAAGGCACGGCTCTCCGTGCCTACTATGGGTATTCCTCTGCCGCTGCTCATGTAACCGTCGTGCTCACTCTTGGACCTGAAACGGAAATCCAGGGTTTAGGGTTTAGGGTTTAGGGTTTAGGGTTTAGGGTTTAATCCGTAAGATTGACAGGTGAAGGCTTTGACACGGGTGTTCTCTAGGCTAGAGCATTAATCCAGGCAGCGTCAGCGTCGCCGGGGCCAGGAACGGCGTCCAAAGGAAGGAAGCGACCTGAGAAAGCTATAGTTTTGAGGTTGCTTTGGTGCTGTTCGACGCTGGTTTTGGGGCCAAGGGAATCCACATCATGTTCGCATACGTACACGTATGCGTGAATATATGGGTTTAAGCACATGTCAGTCCGAACCACCCCGGAAGCATGCGAAGACACCTTGGAAGCCAGCGCTTCACCATTTCTTAACCCCGTGGTTCGGAAAGCCCAAATCTTCAGCCAAGGCTCGTAGATGGGCCAGAACACCCAGCGGGTCGGCTTCCAAAGCCAGGCATTGGGCTTGTTGAAGAGCATGGTCACACGATTTCCTTTGGTGTTCAGCGTTTAGACTAGAGCATTGTCACAGACGCCGTTTGTGGCCTTGCAGGGTTTTCGGCTGTGGAGGTTTAGGGCTTCCTGTGCCTTTTTGTCCCAAGTGGTCTTTACAAAAGCGTGGATTCTAAGCTTGTCGTACTATCCTATGCCCCCACAAACATGAATGCAGTAAACCACATAAACGAGGGCTTGCCAAACAGCTGCAGTGCGGCGTTCAGGGGCGCTGTGTTCAGGCCAAAATGTGGGGTTTAGGGCCCGAGCCCCCTGTTTGTATATATGTATATATATATATATGTATATATATATATATGTATATATATATATATGATCCCGGTTCGGCCGGCCCCCCCCCTCCCCCGCCCAATGGTTCCTCCTCCCCCTCCCTGTGGTGTGGTGTGGTTGTGGGTTGCTTCTCCCTCCCTGTGGTGGTGTCTTGTGGTTGGGGAGTGGGTCTGCTTAGGCTGGTTCCCCCACTCCCCCCTGTGGTGTGGTGTGGGTTTGGGTTTCCTGCGTG